AACCCTTCTCTGTATAAAGCAAGTGTGGATGTTGCAATGAGTAAGCTTGAATATCATTGAGTAGACAATGAAGCTGCAAAGCCAATCAGTGAGGATATCTGCATGGAAGTAGAAAGTGGAGTGTATATATTCCCGTGGAATAATGTCCAGGGTGGGAGGATGAATCGTTGTCTGTATAAAACAAGTGTGGATGTTGCAATGAGCAAGCTTGAATAGCATTGAGTAGCTTCAAATCTGCAAAGTCAATCAGTAAGGGTGTCTTCATAGAGGGAGCAACTGGAGTGTACATATATACTTGTGGAATAAGGTCCAGGGTGGGACAAAGAACCCTTGTCTGTATAAAGCAAGTGTGGATGTTGCAATGAGCAAGCTTGGGTTAGCATTTTAATCGCCATGAAGCTGCAAAGTCAATCAGTGAGGGTATCTGCATAGTGGTGGCAAGTGGAGTGTGTATATGTGTGTGTGTGTGTGTGTGTGAAGTAATGTCCAGGGTGGGAGAAAGAACCCCTGTCTGTGTAAAGACAGTGTTAATGTTGCAGTGAACAAGCTTAAATAGCATTGAGTAGCCATGAAGCTGCAAAGTCAATCAGTGAGGGTATTTGCATAGAGGTAGCAAGTGGAGTGTACCTATATCCCCGTGGAATGATGTCCAGAGCGGGAGAAAGAACCCTCATCTGTATAAAGCAATTGTGAGTGTTGCAATGAGTAAGCTTGAATAGCATTGAGTAGCCTTGCAGCTGCAAAGTCAATCTGTGAGGGTATCTGCATAGAGGTAGCAAGTGGAGCGTATATATAGTTGTGGAATAAGGTCCAGGATGGGAGACAAAACCCTTGTCTTTGTAAAGCAAGTGTGAATGTTGCAATGAGCAAGCTTGAATAGCATTGAGTCGACATGAAGCTGCAAAGTCAATCAGTGGGGGTATCTGAATACAGGTAGCATATGGTGTGCATATATACCTGTTGGATAATGTATTGGATGGGAGAAAGATACTTTGTCTGTATTTAGCAAGTGTGGTTGTTGCAATGAGCAAGTTTGAACAGCATTGAGTAGCCATGAAGCTCCAAAGTCAATCAGTGAAGGTATTTACATAGCTTTTGTTTCCTGGAGACATTTAAGACATTGAAACCTGTGGGATTATGTCTTGGATGGGAGAAAAATCCTTTGTATAAAGCAAATGTGGATGTTACAATGAGCAAGCCTGAATAGCATTGAGTAGCCATGAAGCTGCAAAGTCAATACGTGAGGGTATCTGCATAGAGGTAGCAAGAGGAGTGTATATATAATGTTTTGGATGGGAGGAAGATACTTTGTCTGTATTTAGCAAGTATGATTGTTGCAATTTGGCAAGCTTGAGTAGCCATGAAGCTTCAAAGTCAATCAGTGAAGGTATTTACATAGCTGTTGTTTCCTGAAGACATTTAAGACATTGAAATTTAAGAGACTGAAATTTTATAAGCTCCCGTTACCCATGACAACTGGGATAAAACTAGCATAGCAACATAAAATTAAAAACTTACACCAGAGTGTGTGTTTGTGGGTGTTTGTATGGAATTTTCCAGGATGGGAGAAAGAACATCCACACTTGTTGTCTGTGTAAAGAAAATCTGAATGTTCCAATTAGCAAGCTTGAATAACATTGAGTAGCCGTGAAGCTGCAAAGTCAATCAGTGAGGGTATCGGCATAGAGGTAGCAAATGGAGCGTGTATATATCTGTGGAAATATGTCCAGGGTGGGAGAAAGAACCCTTGCCTGTCTGAAGCAAATGTGAATGTTGCACTGAGCAAGCTTGAATAGCATTGAGTAGCCATGAAGCTGCAAAGTCAACCATTGAGGGTATCGGCATAGATGTAGCAAGTGGGGTGTATGTATAATGTTTTGGATGGGAGAATGATACTTTGTATTTAGCATGTGTGGTTGTTGCATTGAGCAAGCTTGAATAGCATTGAGTAACCTTGCAGCTGCAAAGTCAAGCAGTGTGGGTATCGGTATAGAGGTAGCAAGTGGAGTCTGTATATATCTGTGGAAAAATGTCCAGGGTGGGAGAAAGAATCGTTACCTGTTTGAAGCAAGTGTGGATGTTGCAATGAGCAAGCTTGAATAGCATTGAGTACCCTTGCAGCTGCAAAGTCAATCAGTGAGGGTATCAGCGTAGAGGTAGTAAGTGGAGTGTGTATATATCTGTGGAAAAATAATGTCCAGGGTGAGAGAAAGGAGCAAGTGTGAATGTTGCAATGAGCAAGCTTGAATAGCATTGAGTAGCCATGAAATTTGCAAAGTCAATCAGTGAGGGTATCTACATTGTGGTAGTTAGTGAAGTGTGTGTATATATCCCCTTGGAATAATGTCCAGGGTGAGAGAAAGAACCCTTGCTGTTGAAGCAAGCGTGAATGTTGCAATGTTAGCTTGAATAGCATTGAGTAGCCATGAAGTTTGCAAAGTCAATCAGTGAGGGTATCTACATTGAGGTAGTTAGTGAAGTGTGTGTATATATCCCCTTGGAATAATGTCCAGGGTGAGAGAAAGAACCCTTGCTGTTGAAGCAAGCGTGAATGTTGCAATGTGCAAGCTTGAATAGCATTGAGTAGCCATGAAGTTTGCAAAGTCAATCAGTGAAGGTATCTACATCGAGTTAGTAAGTGGAATGTGTGTGTATCCCTGTGGAAAAATTTCCAGGGTGGGAGAAAGAACCTTTGCCTGTTTGAAGCAAGTGTGGATGTTGCAAAGAGCAAGCTTGAGTTAGCCCTTGAGTAGCCATGAAGTTTGCAAATTCAGTCAGTGAGGGTATTTTCATAGAGGTAGCAAGTGATATATACACACAATGTCCAGGGTGGGAAGAAGAACCCTTGACTGTCTGAAGCAAGTGTGAATGTTGCACTGAGCAAGCTTCAATAGCATAGCTATGAATCTGCAAAGTCAATCAGTGAGGGTATCGGTATAGAGGTAGCAAGTGGAGTGTGTATATATCTGTGGAAAAATGTTCAGGGTGGGAGAAAGAACCTTTACCTGTTTGAAGCAAGTGTGGATGTTGCAATGAGCAAGCTTGAATAGCATTGAGTAGCCATGAAATTTGCAAAGTCAATCAGTGAGAGTATCTACATTGAGGTAGTTAGTGGAGTGTGTGTATATATCCCCTTGGAATAATGTCCAGGGTGAGAGAAAGAACCCTTGCTGTTGAAGCAAGTGTGGATGTTGCAATGAGCAAGCTTGAGTTAGCCCTTGAGGAGCCATGAAGTGTACAAATTCAGTCAGTGAGGGTATTTTCATAGAGGTAGCAAGTGATTGATACACACACACACACACACACCTGTGGAATAATGTCCAGGGTGGGAAGACGAACCCTTGCCTGTCTGAAGCAAATGTGAATGTTGCACTGAGCAAGCTTGAATAACATCGAGTAGCCTTGCAGCTTTAAAGTCAATCAGTGAGGGTACCGGCATAGAGGTAGCAAGTGCAGTGTGTATATATCTGTGGAAAAATGTCCAGGGTGGGAAGACATTTGTTCGTTTGGGAGAGTGACCGCAACTCCCTTCCCCCTTAGAATACACATTTCCCTCCCCGCTTAAGCAGATGGCCTTTGGCGAGGGATGGAGAGGTGTTTGGCTCATCTTCGCCTTTGCTTGACCATCTGCATCGCCGTTTCCCGGACGCTGATTGGGAACGACAAAGAGTTTGGACCGGTGGGTGGGGATGAAATGCTCCATCAAGCAAGTAGGCTAATCAGCTCTCGGCTTCGGCAGGATTTCAGCCTAAGCGGGCTGCGGGTGCAAAGCGAGGTGTGCGGGAGCGTCCGACGGCGAGAGCGCTCCTAAGTACGTGCAGAGCGGCAGGACTGACTTGGGCGCAACACGGAGTAGCCTTTTCCGCGCTTCATTTTGGTCTTGGCTATTTGACAGAGCGGATCTCTATGGGTTTGTGTATGTTTTCCCAAATATTATTATACATAATTATATATATTATTTTTGAATTGCAGGAACTCGTTTGCAAAATGTCTCCTCGGCTTGGCCCCTTCCTGGCTGTTCTCGAGATGCCGAGAGACCCGGGTTTGGTCTGCTGACGGTCTTCATCGTCGTTTCGGTGCCGGAAGTCGAATAGTCGCTCCATAAAGGCTTTGGAAGCCCTGCCCCATGGGAGGAGCACAGAACTCGTCCGCCAAAGAGACCCCGCCCTGTCCTTTCCAAAGGACTTGATTGGACAGGAGGGCCAAAAGGTGGAGCGGTGTTTCCAAGGATTGGAAGCCGAGCGGAGTTTCCCGTTAATCAGAAGCGAGGTGTCGATTCCACCGATCGGAAGTGGAGCATCATCTCTACCAATCAGAAGTGAGGTGTCGATTCCACCGATTGGAAGTGGAGTGTCTTCTCTACCAGTCAGAAGCGAGGTGTCGATTCCACCGATCAGAAGCAGAGCGTCATTTCTACCAATCAGAAGCAAGGTATCAATTCCACTGATCGGAAGCGGATCAGCAAGGTATTGATTCCACTGATTGGAAATGGAGCGTCATTTCTCCCAATCGGAAGCAAGGTGTGGATTCCACTGATCGGAAGCAGAGCGTCATTTCTACCAATCAGAAGCAAGGTGTCGAATCTGCCAATCAGAAGCAGTTTGTCATTTATCCCAATCAGAAGCAAGGTGTTGATTCAACCGATCAGAATCAGAGCATCCTTTCTACTAATTGGAAGTGAGGTGTCGATTCCACCGATTGGAAGTGGAGTGTCTTCTCTACCAGTCAGAAGCGAGGTGTCGATTCCACCGATCGGAAGTGGAGCGTCATTTCCACCCATCAGAAGCAAGGTGTTGATTCCACCGATCGGAAGTGGAGTGTCATTTCTACCAATCAGAAGTGGGGTGTCGATTCCACCGATCGGAAGTAGAGCGTCATTTCTACCCATAAGAAGCAAGGTGTCGATTCCACTGATCGGAAGTGGAGCGTCATTTCTACCCATCAGAAGCAAGGTGTCGATTCCACCGATTGGAAGCGGAGTGTCATTTTTACCAATCAGAAGCGGGGTGTCGATTCCACCGATCGGAAGTGGAGTGTCATTTCTACCCATAAGAAGCAAGGTGTTGATTCCACCGATCGGAAGCGGAGTGTCATCTCTACCAATCGGAAGCAAGGTGTCGATTCCACCGATCGGAAGCGGAGTGTCATTTCAGTCAATCATAAGAAGAGCTTTGTTTCCACCAATTGTCATTCCCACAGAGAAGAAGTGGAGCGTCGTTTCCACAAATCATTGACCCTGCCAATCAGAATCGGATCTGGAATCACGGGTCTTCCTTTGGACGGCTGCCACCGACCAGAAGCGGATCTGGAATCCCGAGCGGACGGTCGACAGCCCGGACGCGAGGTGGAGGCCAGGGGGCGATGCAGTCAGACGACCTCTTCATCCGCAAGATCCGACGCCACACGAACCGCCCGCCGCTTCCGTCCCTCTCCTTCGACACTTTCCGGACCAACAAGTCCTCCCCGGTGGGCGAGGGCCCCATCGCGGGGCATTACGGACCCCCTCCGCTGAGGTCCCCGAGGCGCAGCTACCTCATGCATCGCAGCAACAGCGACGTGACACTGAGCGAGGGGGAGCTCGCCGTTTCCGCTCCGGCAGCTCCTAGTTCCCCTGGGGGCGGACCCGGACTCCTTCGCAACAGTAGCCCCAATTCGTCCGTCAAGGGTTCGGCACCTCCTCGGGCTCGGGCGCACAGCCATGAAGAACCCCGAGCCGGTAGCCCAACCGCCCGCCGTTTCCGGGACCCTTTGCTCCTCCTCGGACTGTCGACCAGCGAGGTTTGGGAGACCGAAACGGACGGCGTGATGCCCGGGGATGGGGCCGGCGTCCACCCCGTATCCGAGGTGGCCGCCCCTGTATGGGGCCGCCATTTGGCCCACTACGATGTCCAGAGCATCCTGTTCGAGCCGGGTGGAGTGGCCCGAGACGCCGAAAAGCAGGGTAACATCAGCACAGGAGCCTCGGCGGCTTCTCAGTCTCGCCTGGCGGACGCCGCTCACGTCTCCGAGGACGAGGCGGGCGAGGAGAAAGACGGGACCCTAGTGCTCAGCTGCCCCTGCTTCCGGGCGGAATCCGGGGGAGAATCCGAATCCGGCATCGGGCAACACCGAGGGTCCCTAGCGGGGTTCCACTGCCCGAACATGGCGGTGTCCGTCCTGGAGGAACCGCGCGAAAGCTACGGGCAGAGGACTAGCCGCGCTGGGCACGCCATCGAATACGCCGATCTCGGAGCGTGTTACTATCGGAAGCATTTCTACGGCAAAGGTGAGTGCGTGTTCCAAAGGTGGAGTGGCGGAAATCAAATGGTTCAGGGCATTATTATTATTATTATTATCATTATTATTATTATTTGTAAAATAAGAAATGACTTTTTCAAATAACCCAAGCTAGAAATAATAATAATAATAATAATAATAATAATAATAATAATAATAATAATTTTTCTTTCTTTTTTAAATCTCTTCTTTCTTTTAAAATCAATAAAAATTATTATTATTACTATGTCTAGCTTAGGTCCTCTTTGAAAATTTATTATTGTTATTATTATTATTTCTAGCTTGGGTTATTATTATTATTATTTGTAAAATAAGAAATGACTTTTTCAAATAACCCAAGCTAGAAATAATAATAGAAATAATAATAATAATAATAATAATAATAATAATAATAATTTTTGTTTCTTTCTTTTTAAAATTACTTCTATCTTTTAAAATCAATTAAAAAAATTAAAAATATAATAATTATTACTATTTCTAGCTTAGGTCCTATTTGAAAAAAGTCATATTTTTATTTTACAAAATGCATAAGGTTGTGGGTGAACTACAACTCCCATCATGCCAGGATAACTCCCTGAAACAACATCAGTACTTCAAGTTTTGTCATGTTGGCCAAGTTTGCTCTAATGCCTCATTGGTGGGGTTCAGCGTGCTCTCTGGCTGCAGGATGAACTACAACTCCCAACCATTACCCCTCAAATCCCTCCAGTAGGTTCAGTTGGTCATAGGGGTTCTGTGTGCCAAGGAACTGTATTAAGGGGTCGCGGCATCTTATATATTCTAAAATAAATATTAAAATAAATATAGCGTCCCTACTTCGCGGATTTTCACTTTTCGCGGGTAGTCCTAGAACGTAACACTCGTAGTAAGTGAGGGAATGCTGTAATGTTATGGTTTGGGGTCACCACAACATGAGGAACTATATTAAGGGATCGCGGCACCTTATATATTCTAAAATAAATATTAAAATAAATATAGCGTCCCTACTTCTCGGATTTTCACTTTTCGCGGGTAGTCCTGGAACGTACCACTCGTGATAAGTGAGGAAACGCTGTAATGTTATGGTTGGGGGTCACCACAACATGAGGAACTATATTAAGGGATCGCGGCAACTTATATATTATAAAATAAATATTAAAATAAATATAGCGTCCCTACTTCGCGGATTTTCACTTTTCGCGGGTAGTCCTGGAACGTACCACTCGTGATAAGTGAGGGAACGCTGTAATGTTATGGTTTGGGGTCACCACAACATGAGGAACTATATTAAGGGATCGCGGCACCTTATATATTCTAAAATAAATATTAAAATAAATATAGCGTCCCTACTTCGCGGATTTTCACTTTTCATTGGTGGTCCTAGAACGTAACACTCGTAGTAAGTGAGGGAACGCTGTAATGTTATGGTTGGGGGTCACCACAACATGAGGAACTATATTAAGGGATCGCGGCACCTTATATATTCTAAAATAAATATTAAAATAAATATAGCGTCCCTACTTCGCGGATTTTCACTTTTCGCGGGTAGTCCTAGAACGTAACACTCGTAGTAAGTGAGGGAATGCTGTAATGTTATGGTTTGGGGTCACCACAACATGAGGAACTATATTAAGGGATCGCGGCACCTTATATATTCTAAAATAAATATTAAAATAAATATAGCGTCCCTACTTTGCGGATTTTCACTTTTCGCGGGTAGTCCTAGAACGTAACACTCGTAGTAAGTGAGGGAATGCTGTAATGTTATGGTTTGGGGTCACCACAACATGAGGAACTATATTAAGGGATCGCGGCACCTTATATATTCTAAAATAAATATTAAAATAAATATAGCGTCCCTACTTCGCGGATTTTCACTTTTCGCGGGTAGTCCTGGAACGTACCACTCGTGATAAGTGAGGGAACGCTGTAATGTTATGGTTGGGGGTCACCACAACATGAGGAACTATATTAAGGGATCGCGGCACCTTATATATTCTAAAATAAATATTAAAATAAATATAGCGTCCCTACTTCGCGGATTTTCACTTTTCGCGGGTAGTCCTGGAACGTACCACTCGTGATAAGTGAGGGAACGCTGTAATGTTATGGTTGGGGGTCACCACAACATGAGGAACTATATTAAGGGATCGCGGCAACTTATATATTATAAAATAAATATTAAAATAAATATAGCGTCCCTACTTCGCGGATTTTCACTTTTCATTGGTGGTCCTAGAACGTAACACTCGTAGTAAGTGAGGGAACGCTGTAATGTTATGGTTGGGGGTCACCACAACATGAGGAACTATATTAAGGGATCGCGGCACCTTATATATTCTAAAATAAATATTAAAATAAATATAGCGTCCCTACTTCGCGGATTTTCACTTTTCGCGGGTAGTCCTGGAACGTACCACTCGTGATAAGTGAGGGAACGCTGTAATGTTATGGTTTGGGGTCACCACAACATGAGGAACTATATTAAGGGATCGCGGCACCTTATATATTCTAAAATAAATATTAAAATAAATATAGCGTCCCTACTTCGCGGATTTTCACTTTTCATTGGTGGTCCTAGAACGTAACACTCGTAGTAAGTGAGGGAACGCTGTAATGTTATGGTTTGGGGTCACCACAACATGAGGAACTATATTAAGGGATCGCGGCACCTTATATATTCTAAAATAAATATTAAAATAAATATAGCGTCCCTACTTCGCGGATTTTCACTTTTCATTGGTGGTCCTAGAACGTAACACTCATAGTAAGTGAGGGAACGCTGTAATGTTATGGTTTGGGGTCACCACAACATGAGGAACTATATTAAGGGATCGCGGCACCTTATATATTCTAAAATAAATATTAAAATAAATATAGCGTCCCTACTTTGCGGATTTTCACTTTTCGCGGGTAGTCCTGGAACGTACCACTCGTGATAAGTGAGGAAACGCTGTAATGTTATGGTTGGGGGTCACCACGACATGAGGAACTATATTAAGGGATCGCGGCACCTTATATATTCTAAAATAAATATTAAAATAAATATAGCGTCCCTACTTCGCGGATTTTCACTTTTCGCGGGTAGTCCTAGAACGTAACACTTGTAGTAAGTGAGGGAATGCTGTAATGTTATGGCTTGGGGTCACCACAACATGAGGAACTATATTAAGGGATCGCGGCACCTTATATATTCTAAAATAAATATTAAAATAAATATAGCGTCCCTACTTCGCGGATTTTCACTTATCGCGGGTGGTCCTGGATCAGATCACCCGCGATAAGTGAGTGAACACTGTAATGTTGTGGTTGGGGGGTCACCACAACATGAGGAACTATATTAAGGGGTCGCGGCATTAGGAAGGATGAGAAACACTGATCCATGCTGCAGAATGACAGGTCAAGCTGCTCGTATGCTTCTGCGAAGGTGTTTAGGGTGGCTTGTAGATCTTCTTCTGAATGCGCACAGACAATATTGTCATCCGCATACTGGAGTTCTATAACAGATGTTGTTGTAACCTTGGTTTTGGCTTTCAGTCTGCTGAGGTGAAAGAGTTTGAGGTTAACTAAGGTTGGAATGAATGCAGAGTGACACTATCTTAAGTACCAAGGCTTAATGTATGGGATGCTATAGGATCTTGGATCGAGAGCGTTATTTCCCTTCCCAAATGACACCTCCCAGGATTACATGGCCTTCAAGTGGTGCCTAATTCAAAACTATATGATAACAACTCTTCTAGGAGTCTCTTTAAGTCCTCCGGAGGGACTCTATGGCCAACTTCCTAAAATGGACAACAGGGGGAGCCTTTGCTATACGTAACACAGCGGTTGTTGCACTATTGATCACAATGCTTGTTGCTACTTCGTAACAGTACTTTGGCTACTTTTGTGCATCATCGTGTAAATATCCGATATGCAGGATGTATTTTCATTCATTGGACCAAATTTGGCACAAATACTCAATATGACCAAATGTGAACACTTGGTTTTGTCATATGGAAGTTGTAGTTGCTGGGATTAAAAATGTAATGTTCGTTTGTGGGATTAACAGAACTCAAAAGCCACTGGATGAAAACACATTACAATGTTCCTGCTTATCTTCTTACATGATTGGATTTACCTATTCCTTTAAAGTGCTTTTTACTTAGATGCTTTTTACTTATCTATATAAATAAAAATGTAATGTTCGTTTGTGGGATTAACAGAACTCAAAAACCACTGGAAAAATTGACACCAAATTTGGACACAAGACACCTAACAACCCCATGTATGTCCTTCACTAAAAAAAAAATGATTTTGTTATTTGGGAGTTGTAGTTGCTGGGATTTATAGTTCACCTACAATCAAAGAGCAGTCTGAACTCCACCAAGGATGGAATTGAACCAAACTTATCGCACAGGACTCCCATCACCAACAGAAAATACTGGAAGGGTTTGGTGGGCAGTGTCCTTTGGTTTTGGAGTTGTAGTTCACCTACATCCAGAGATCACTGTGGACTCGGGATTTATAGTTCACCTACAATCAAAGAACATTCTGAATTCCACCAATGATGAAATTAAACCAAACTTATTACACAGAACTCCCATGACCAACAGAAAATACTGGAAGGGTTTGGTGGGCATTGGCCTTGAGTTTTGGAGTTGTAGTTCACCTACATCCAAAGATGACTGTGGACTCAAACAATGAGGAATCTGGACCAAACTCTACACGAATACTCAATATGCCCAAATATGAACACTGGTGGAGTTTGGGGAAAATAGAATCTTAACTTTTGGGAGTTGTAGTTGCTGGGATTTATAGTTCACCTACAATCAAAGAGCATTCTAAACTCCACCAGTGATGGAATAGAACCAAACCAGGCACACAGAACTTCTGTAGCTAATAGAAAATACTGGAATAGTTTGATGGGCATTAACCTTGAGTTTTGGAGTTGTAGTTCACCTCCATCCAGAGAGCACTATGGACTCAGACAATGATGGATCTGGACCAAACTTGGCATAAATACTCAATATTCCCAAATGTGGACACTGGTAGAGTTTGGGGAAAATAGAATCTTGACATTTGGGAGTTGTAGCTGCTGGGATTTATAGTTCACCTATAATCAAAGAGAATGGTGAACCTCACCAAGGATGGAATTGAACCAAACATGGCACACAATTTAAAAGATGGGGGAGAATTTGCAAGGTTTCGGGTATGTTTTGGATATTCTTAACTCTCATAGTTAACAGAAAATACTGGAAGGGTTTGGTTGGCGTTGACCTTGGGTATTGGAGTTGTAGTTCACCTACATCCAGAGAGCATGGTGGACTCAAACAATGATGGATCTGGACCAAACTTGACACAAATGCTCAATATGCCCAAATATGAACACTGGTGGAGTTTGGGGACAATCGACCCTGACATTTGGGAGTTGAAATTGCTGGGATTTATAGTTCACCTACAATCAAAGAGCATTCTAAACTCCACCAGTGATGGAATAGAACCAAACCTGGCACACAGAACTTCTGTAGCTAACAGAAAATACTGGAAGGGTTTGGTTGGCATTGACGTTGAGTTTTGGAGTTATAGTTCACCTACATCCAGAGAACACTGTGGACTCAAACAATGAGGGATCTGGACCAAACCTGACACAAATACTCAATATGCCCAAATGTGGACACTGGTGGAGTTTGGGGAAAATAGACCTTGACATTTGGGAGTTGTAGTTGTTGGGATTTATAGTTCACCTACAATCAAAGAGCAGTCTGAACTCCACCAAGGATGGAATTGAACCAAACATGGCACACAATTTAAAAGATGGGGGAGAATTTGCAGAGTTTCGGATATTCTTAACTCTCATAGCTAATAGAAAATACTGGAAGGGTTTGGTTGGTATTGACCTTGACTTTTGGAGTTGTAGTTCACGTACATCCAGAGAGCACTGTGGACTCAAACAATGATGGATTTGGACCAAACTTGGCATGGATACTCAATGTGGCCAAATGTGGACACTGGTGGAGTTTGGGGAAAACAGACCTTGACAGTCTGAACTCCACCAAGGATGGAATTGAATCAAGCTTCGCACACAGAGCTCCCATAACTAACAGCGAATATTGGAAAGGTTTGGTGGGCATTGACCTTGACTTTTGGAGTTGTAGTTCATCTACATCCAGAGAACACTGTGGACTCAAACAATGATGGATCTGGACCAAACTTGGCACGGATACTCAATATGGCCAAATGTGGACACTGGTGGAGTTTGGGGGAAATAGACCTTGACATTTGGGAGTTGTAGTTTCTGGGATGTATAGTTCACCTACAATCAAAGAGCCTTCTGAACTCCACCAACGATAGAATTGAACCAAACCTGGCACACAGAACTTCCACAGAAAATACTGGAAGTGTTTGGTTGGCATTGACCTTGAGTTTTGGAGTTGTAGTTCATCTACATCCAGAGAGCATGGTGGACTCAAACAATGGTGGATCAGGACCAAACTTGGCATGGATACTCAATATGGCCAAGTGTGGACATTGGTGGAGTTTTGGGAAAATTGCCATTGACATTTGGGAATTCTAGTTGCTGGGATTTATAGTTCACCTACAATCAAAGAGCATTCTGAACTCCACCAAGGATGGAATTGAATCAAGCTTCGCACACAGAGCTCCCATAACTAACAGCGAATATTGGAAATGTTTGGTGGGCATTGGCATTGAGTTTGGGAGTTGTAGTTCACCTACATCCAGAGAGCATGGTGGACTCAAACAATGATGGATCTGGACCAAACTTGTTTTTAAGGCAGGATTTCCCCTTCTCTTTGCACAGAGCACCAGAATTTCTTTGGAGTGGACGATCAATTGGGTGCGGTAGCCGTGTCACTGCGGCGCGAGGAGAAAGAAGGCAGCACCGGACCCCAGTACAATTACCGCCTCATCGTACGGACAAGTCAGGTGAGCTCACCTTTGTTTACCTTGCTCACAGCGACCCTTGTTTGGTAAGTCGGGCGAGGAATTTCTGATTTTGAAATGGCAAAAATATATATAAATATATATATATATTTAAAAATATATTTAAAAAATTGATTCTGACACTAAAAGAATATTAGAAATTGTAAAAAAAATACAATTTACAGTAAATAGCATTGTAAATAATAATAATAATTATATATCTATATAAATAAAATTATTATTATATATCTATATAAAGTAATGTTCGTTTGTGGGATTAAGAAAACTCAAAAACCACTGGACGTATTGACACCAAATTTGGACACAAGACACCTAACAACCCAATGTATGTCCTTTGCTCAAAAAAAATATGATTTTGTCATTTGCTGGGATTTATAGTTCACCTACCATCAAAGAGCATTCTGAACTCCACCAATGAGGGAATTGAACCAAACTTGGCACACAGTTCTCTCATTACCAATAGAAAATACTGGAAGGGTTTGGTGGGCATTGACCTTGAGTTTTGGAGTTGTAGTTCACCTATATCCAGAGAGCACTGTGGACTCAAACAATGATGGATCTGGACCAAACTCTATAAGAATACTCATTATGTTCAAATGTGAACACTGGTGGAGTTTGGGGGAAATCGAATCTTGAGATTTGGGAGTTGTAGTTGCTGGGATTTATAGTTCACCTACAACCACAGAGCATTCTGAACCCCATTAACGATAGAATTGGGCCAAAACTCCCACACAGAATCATTACATTTTTATTTATATAGATTTATATAGATTGTATTATATATATAATATTATTAATATTATAATATATAATATTATATTGTAATACAATATACTACTACTACTAATAAAATGATATTATAATTATATATTACTAATTACTAATAATATTACATTTAATATGAAATATAGAATTATTATATTATTTTATTTTTAGTAGTAGGATATTGTATTACATTATAATATTATATATTATAATATTAATTATATATTTTACATAATTCTATATTTTATATTAAATGTAATATTACCAATAATATTACATGTAATATAAAATATAGAATTATAATATCATTTTATTTTTAGTAGTAGGATATTGTATTACATTATAATATTATATATTATAATATATATTTTACATAATTCTATATTTTATATTAAATGTAATATTACCAATAATATTACATTTAATATAAAATATAGAATTATAATATCATTTTATTTTTAGTAGTAGGATATTGTATTACATTATAATATTATATATTATAATATATATTTTACATAATTCTATATTTTATATTAAATGTAATATTACTAATAATATTACATTTAATATAAAATATAGAATTATAATATCATTTTTATTAGTAGTAGTATGTTGTATTACGTTATAATATTATCAATATTATATGTATATACAATATATTATATTATATTATATTATATTACATTATATTATATTATATTATAAGCACAGTGCAGGAGACAAGATAGTGTCCCTACTTTGCGGATTTTGACTTATCGCATTTAATATAAAATATATAATTATAATATCATTTTATTTTTAGTAGTAGTATATTGTATTTCATTATAATATTATCAATATTATATGTATATCCCCTGACATTAATTCCAGTCATGTCTGACTCTGGGGTGTGGTGCTGATCTCCATTTCTAAGCCGAAGAGCCAGCGTTGTCCGTAGACACCTCCAAGGTCATGTGGCCGGCATGAATGCATGCCACCGGGGGCTCCTTATATGTATATACAATATATTATATTATATTATATTATATTATATTATATTATATTATATTATAAGCACAGTGCAGGAAACAAGATAGTGTCCCTACTTTGCGGATTTTGACTTATCGCGGGTGGTCCTGGAACGGAACACCCGCGATAAGTGAGGGAACCTCTCCAGGGCTTATTCCACGTAAACATGTTCTGTAACCCAGCTAAGAGGGTTCCCCATGGCTACTCCATCTTTCTGCTCCCAGCTCCGGACCCTTCGGGGGTCCATCCTCGAGGAGGCGATCCCCCTCGCCGCCCGCCACGCCACCCCCCGCGGCATCCCCCCGAAGAAGCTCCTGGAACACGTGATGCCCGAACTGAGCCTCCAGTGTCTCCGCTTGGCGTCCAGCTCCCCGAAGGTACCGGAGACCTTGCTCAAGCTGGACGAACAAGGGGTAAGTTCGCATCTCTCTTATGCCACAACATCGGGTTCTTAGAGTTGGAGGCTTACGAGAGAGATCACCCAGGTTGCGACAGTCCTCTTCTCATCCTCCTCTTCCTCCACACTCAGCTCAGTTTCCAGCGGAAAGTCGGAGTGTTGTACTGTATGGCAGGGCAGGGTTCGGAAGAGGACATGTACAACAACGAAGAAGGCGGTCCGGCCTTCCAGGAGTTCCTGGATCTCCTTGGCGAACGTGTGCGGCTCCGCGGCTTTGAGAAATACCGGGCGCAGCTGGACACCAAGAGTAAGTGATGAGATTCAAGGTGAGAGTGGAACTATGACGTCTCTCGATCCTGACACTATGCGCCTGTTAACACCGCCTAGAATACTCCAACATTCGTTCATCATGCATACATTACCATCCCTTCTTCCTTCTCCTGGAGAGGAGACCCGAACGTAGGCCAGATTGCGTTCCCTGCAAATCTGCCATTCTGCCAATACATCATCTTCCCCGTCCTTTGAAGAAAGAAGCATGTGTACAGAACCTGCGCTCCTGCAGTATGACACACTTTTGGGTTGTAAAAAGGTCTCTTATATAGTTGTGGCACTCCAGGACAGATAAAACCACATGTTGAATAGGAAAACAATCCTTTTATTGAAGATAAGTAAAAAAAAAAGCAAAGTAAAAAAGCACTTTAAAGAAATCGGTAAATACAATTAGGTAAGAAGATAAGTTATTGAAGATAAGTAAAAACAGCAAAGTAAAAAAGCCCTTTAAAGAAATCTGTAAATACAATTAGGTAAGAAGATAAGTTATTGAAGATAAGTAAAAACAGCAAAGTAAAAAAGCCCTTTAAATAAATCTGTAAATACAATTAGGTAAGAAGATAAGTTGTGGAAGATAAGTAAAAACGGCAAAGTAAAAAAGCCCTTTAAAGAAATCTGTAAATACAATTAGGTAAGAAGATAAACAGGAACAAATTCATCCAGGGTAGAGCTCAACAAAGTCCATGAAAACAAAGTCCACACGTTGAATAGGAAAACAATCCTTTTATTGAAGATAAGTAGAAAACAGCAAAGTAAAAAAGCCCTTTAAAGAAATCTGTAAATACAATTAGGTAAGAAGATAAGTTATTGAAGATAAGTAAAAACAGTAAAGTAAAAAAGCCCTTTAAAGAAATCTGTAAATACAATTAGGTAAGAAGATAAGTTGTTGAAGATAAGTAAAAACGGCAAAGTAAAAAAGCCCTTTAAAGAAATCTGTAAATACAATTAGGTAAGAAGATAAGTTGTGGAAGATAAATAAAAACAGCAAAGTAAAAAAGCACTTTAAAGAAATCTGTAAATACAATTAGGTAAGAAGATAAACAGGAACAAATTCATCCAGGGTAGAGCTCAGCAAAGTCCATGAAAACAAAGTCCACATGTTGAATAGGAAAACAATCCTTTTATTGAAGATAAGTAAAAAACAGCAAAGTAAAAAAGCACTTTAAAGGAATCAGTAAATACAATTAGGTAAGAAGATAAACAGGAACAAATTTGTCCAGGGTAGAGTTCAGCAAAGTCGATGAAAACAAAGTCCACGCTTCTCTAATAACACCCAGAAAATCAGGAATACATTGATCCAAGGTGCACTCCTGCAGTCTGCCACACTTTTGGGTAGTAAAAAGGTCTCTTGTATAGTTGTTGCTCTCCAGGACAGGTAAAACCACACGTTGAATAGGAAAACAATCCTTTTATTGAAGATAAGTAAAAACAGCAAAGTAAAAAAGCACTTTAAAGAAATCAGTAAATACAATTAAGTAGGAAGATAAACAGGAACAAATTCGTCCAGGGTAGAGTTCAGCAAAGTCCATGAAAACGAAGTCCACACTTCTCGAATAACATCCAGAAAATCAGGAAAAACATTGATCCAAGGCTTAAATATACAATCATAAAATCCAAGTGTCAAAACCATAAAACCAGAAGTATTTCAACATGAATATTCAAAGCAAGGCTTCCATGAAACAAGGATACATCATCTTCCCCGTCCTTTGAAGAAAGAAGCATGTGTACAGAACCTGCACTCCTGCAGTCTGCCACACTTTTGGGTTGTAAAAAGGTCTCTTGTATAGTTGTTGCACTCCAGGATAGGAAAAGCCACACGTTGAATAGGAAAACAATCCTTTTATTGAAGATAAGTAAAAAAAAAACCAGCAAAGTAAAAAAGCACTTTAAAGAAATCGGTAAATACAATTAGGTAAGAAGATAAACAGGAATTGCCGAACCCTACAGAAATCGATTTTCCTTTCTCTTTGCAGCGGATTCCACGGGGAGCCACTCCCTCTACACCACGTACCAGGACTACGAGATCATGTTCCACGTCTCCACTATGCTGCCCTACACGCCAAACAACCGTCAGCAGGTGAGCGGGAGCCTGGGAAGCGTAGCGCAAATAAGTAGGGATTTTTTACATTGCAAGCCCTTCTTTTGCAGCTGCTGAGGAAGCGCCACATTGGGAACGACATCGTGACCATCGTCTTCCAGGAGCCCGGGGCCCTTCCCTTCACGCCACGCACCATCCGCTCCCACTTCCAGCACGTCTTTATTGTGGTGAGGGCTCACAAATCCTGCAACGGCAATACCACCTACAGGTAAGGAAGGCGTGAGCACGTGATGTATTACCTGTGAGTTACCTGTTAAGTGTATTACCTGTAAATGAATATTTTATTATCCATAAATTTACCTGTCAGGTGTTCTACCTGTAAGTTACCTGTTAAGTGTATTACCTGGAAATGAATATTGTGTTATCCGTAAATTTACCTGTCAGGTGTTCTACCTGTAAGTTACCTGTTAAATCTATTACCTGTAAGTGAATATTGTGTTATCTGTAAATTTACCTGTCAGGTGTTCTACCTGTAAGTTACCTGTTAAGTGTATTACCTGTAAATGAATATTGTGTTATCTGTAAATTTACCTGTCGGGTGTTCTACCTGAAAGTTACCTATTAAGTCTGTTACCTGTAAGTGAAAATTGTGTTATCCGTAAATTTACCTGTCAGGTGTTTTACCAGTAAGTTACCTGTTAAGTCTGTTACCTGTAAGTGAATATTGTGTTATCTAAAAATTTACCTGGCAGGTTTTCTACCTGTAAGTTACCTGTTAAGTCTATTACCAGGTGTTATTTATGGTGTTATCCATAAATTTAGTGGTCAGGTGTTCTACCTGTAAGTTACCTGTTAAGTGTATTACCTGTAGATAAATATTGTGTCATCCGTAAATATATCGGTTAGATGTTCTATCTGTAAGTTACCTGTTAAGTCTGTTACCTGCAAATGAATATTGTGTTATCTGTACATTTACCTGTTAGGTGTTCTATCTGCAAGTTACCTGTAAAGTCTGTTACCTGTTAATGAATATTGTGCTAACCATAAATTTACCTGTTAGATGTTCTACCTCTAAGTTATCGGTTTACCTGTTAGGTATTGTACCTTTAAGTTACCTGTAAAGTCTGTTACCTGACTGAATAGTGCTTTATCCGTAAATTTACCTGTCATGTGTTCTACTTGTAAGTTACCTGTTAAGTCTATTACCTGTAAATGAATATTGTGTTATCCATAAATTTACCTGTCAGGTGTTCTACCTGAAAGAACACCTGACAGGTAATACACTTCACAAGTAAATGAATATTGTGTTGTGTAAATTTATGTGTTAGGTATTCTACCTGTAAGTTACCTGCTAAGTGTATTACCTGCAAATGAATATTGTGTTATCCATAAATTTACCTGTCAGGTGTTCTACCTGTAAGTTACCTGATAAGTCTATTACCTGTAAATGAATATTGTGTTATGCATACATATACCTGTCTTATGTTCTACTTGTAAGTTACCTGTTAAATCTGTCACCTGTAAATTAATATTGTGCTATCCATAAATTTACCTGTCATGTGTTCTACCTGTAATTACACCTGACAGGTAATACACTTCATTTACAGGCAACACTTAACAGGTTACTTACCTGTTAAGTGTATTACCTGTAAATGAGTATTGTGCTATCCATAAATTTACCTGTCAGGTGTTCTACTTGTAAGTTACCCGTTAAATCTTTTACCTGGAAATGAATATTGTGTTATGCATACATTTACCTGTCAGGTGTTCTTCTTGTAAGTTACCTGTTAAATCTATTACCTGTAAATGAATATTGTGTTATCCGTAAATTTACCTGCCAGGTGTTCTACCTGTAAGTTATCTGTTAAGTCTATTACCTGTAAATGAATATTGTGTTATCCATAAATTTACCTATCAGGTGTTCTACCTGTAAGAACACCTGACAGATAATACACTTCATTTACAGGTAATAGACTTAACAGGTAACTTACCTGTTAAGTGTATTACCTGTCAATGAATATTGTGTTATCCATAAATTTACCTATCAGGTGTTCTACCTGTAAGAACACCCGACAGATAATACACTTCATTTACAGGTAATAGACTTAACAGGTAACTTACCTGTTAAGTGTATTACCTGTCAATGAATATTGTGTCATCCATAAATTTACCTGTCAGGTGTTCTACCTGTAATTACACCTGACAGGTAGTATACTGTATACTTAATAGGCAACTTTCTTGTTAAATGTATTACCTGCTAATTAACATTGTGTTATCTGTCAATTTACCTGTCAGGTGTTCTACCTGTAAGTTACCTGCTATTACCTGTAAATGAATATCATGTTTTCTGTACAATGTATTTACCTGCAAATGACTTGTTCCCCTTTCTTTTTTTTTCTTTCTCCAATCAGCATGGCGGTCAGCTGCACAAAGGACATCCCACCTTTCGGCCCCTTCATCTCGGCGGAGAACACCTTTGCCCAGAGCCCCGCTTTCCGCGACCTCCTCCTGGCCAAGGTGATCAACGCGGAGAACGCGGCCGAGCGCTCGGGGAAGTTCCACGCCATGGCCACGCGCACGCGGCAGGAGTACCTGCGGGACCTGGCCCTGCACCACGCCACCACCAGCACCTTGGAGGCCTCCTCCTCCCGCCTGGCCCTCATCGCCTTGGCCGCCAAGAAGCGCGAGAAGTCCAAGGCGCCCAAGGGGGCCGAAGCCCACAGCGCCGGAGCCCTGGTCTGGGGCGTCTGGGCCCGGGACGGCAGCCGAGGGGGGGCCGAGGGCAAGACCCCCGAGCTGCGCTGCCTCCTGGGCATCTCCGCCGAGTTCCTGGTCCTCATCGACGCTCGCGAGAAGAGGGTGGTCTTCAACTGCTCTTGCCGGGACATCCTCGCCTGGACCTTCTCGGAAAGCTGCACTTTGGATCTCTACTACGAGACGGGGGACTATATCTGCATGCGGGTGGACGAAGGGCAGGCCAATGACATCCGGGACATCGTCCATCGGCTGCAGGTAAGGCTGCCCCGTCGTTAGAACCATAGAGAGACAGATAGACACTAGAACTGATAGATAGATCGAATGATCAATAGATAGATAGATACTAGAACTGATAGACTGATGAATGGATGGATTGACAGATAGATAGATACTTAGATACGTAGATACGTAGATAGATAGATAGATAGATAGATAGATAGATAGATAGATAGAGATACTAGAACTGATGGATGGATGGATAGACAAACAAACACTAGAACTGATAGATAGATAGATTGATCAATAGATAGATAGATACTAGAACTGATAGACCGATGAATGGATTGACAGATAGATAGATACTTAGATACGTAGATAGATAGATAGATAGATAGATAGATAGATAGATAGAGATACTAGAACTGATGGATGGATGGATAGACAAACAAACACTAGAACTGATAGATAGATTGATTGATTGATTGATTGATCAATAGATAGATAGATACTAGAACTGATAGACCGATGAATGGATGGATTGACAGATAGATAGATACTTAGATACGTAGATAGATAGATAGATAGATAGATAGATAGATAGATAGAGATACTAGAACTGATGGATGGATGGATGGATAGACAAACAAACACTAGAACTGATAAATAGACTGATTGATTGATTGATTGATTGATCAATAGATAGATAGATACTAGAACTGATAGACCGATGAATGGATGGATTGACAGATAGATAGATACTTAGATACGTAGATACGTAGATAGATAGATAGATAGATAGATAGATAGATAGATAGATAGAGAGATAGAGAGATAGAGAGATAGAGATACTGGAACTGATGGATGGATGGATAGACAAACAAACACTAGAACTGATAAATAGACTGATTGATTGATTGATCAATACATAGATAGATACTAGAACTGATGGATGGATAGAAAAGTAGCTAGATAGACATTAGAACAGATAGATGGATAAATGTATAGATAAACAGATACACAGAAACTAGAACTGATAGATAGATAGATAGATAGATAGATAGATAGATGGATAGATAAATAGATAGATAGATAGATAGATAGATAGATAGATAATAGAATGGAAGGATGGATGGATAGACAGACAGGCACTAGAACTGATAGATCGATTGATCAATAGGTAGATAGATACTAGAACTGATGGATGGATGGATGGATGGATGGATGGATGGATGGATGGATACATACATACATACATACATACATACATACATACATAAACAGACAGACACTAGAACTGATAGATCGATTGATCAATAGGTAGATAGATACTAGAACTGATAGATGGATGGATGGATGGATGGATGGATAGATAGATAGATAGATAGATAGATAGATAGATAGATAGATAGATAGATAGATACTAGAACTGATAGACTGATGGATGGATGGATGGATGGATGGATGGATGGATGGATGGATGGATGGATGGATGGATAGATGAATGGATGGATCGATGGATCGATGGATCGATGGATCGATGGATCGATGGATGGATGGATGGATACTAGAACTGATAGACTGATGGATGGATGGATGGATGGGTGAGTGGATGGATAGATAGATAGATAGATAGATAGATAGATAGATAGATAGATAATAGAATGGAAGGATGGATGGATAGACAGACAGGCACTAGAACTGATAGATCGATTGATCAATAGGTAGATAGATACTAGAACTGATGGATGGATGGATGGATGGATGGATGGATGGATGGATGGATACATACATACATACATACATACATACATACATACATACATAAACAGACAGACACTAGAACTGATAGATCGATTGATCAATAGGTAGATAGATACTAGAACTGATGGATGGATGGATGGATGGATGGATGGATGGATGGATGGATGGATGGATAGATAGAGGATAGATAGATAGATAGATAGATAGATAGATAGATAGAAGAGGTGATGGATGGATAGACAGATAGATGGTAAAGATGATGGATGGATGGATGGATGGATGGATGGATGGATGGATGGATGGATGGATGGATACTAGAACTGATAGACTGATGGATGGATGGATGGATGGGTGAGTGGATGGATAGATAGATAGATAGATAGATAGATAGATAGATACTAGAACTGACAAATTGATTGATTGACAAATAGACTGATTGACTGATTGATCAATAGATAGATAGATTTACAGTATTTATATTCCACCTTTCTCACCCTGCAGGGGACTCAGGGCGGATCACAATGCACATATACATGGCAAACATTCAATACCATAGACACACAACATATATAGACAGACACACAACTTTCCAGCTTTGAATTCCGGCCACTGGGGGAGCTGTTGCTTCACCATCCATTTGTGACACTGATGGATTACTTCCTCATTCTTTTGCACGCTGCTGGAGAGTTTTATGGCATCGAAACTTAGTTAAATTAGCCTCTCCGCATAAATTTTCACGCGACTCCCTTGCGTTTTCTTTCCCAGTTGGTGACCCGGGGCTGCGAGACGCGGGAGCTGACCCTCTTGAGGAACGGCGTCGGTCAGCTGGGCTTCCAGATGGACCACGAGGGCTTCGTGACCGAGGTCGAGCGCTTCACATTTGCCGAAAAGGCTGGGCTCCAACCCGGGGCCCGCCTGGTGAGGGTCTGCGAGAGACCCCTGCCCAGCCTCAGCCACTCTCAGACCACGGAGCTCCTTCGCACGGCCAAGAAGGTCACCATCACGGTCGTGCCTCCAGATGAGAACGGGAAACCCAGGAGGTGAGCAGTCGCGTTGCTGTTGTTGTTGGCTCTCCAGTTTCACAGGAAACCCAGGATGTGAGCAGTTGCATTGCTGCTGTTGTTGTTGTTGTTGTTGTTGTTGTCATTGTTATTGGCTCTCCGGTTTCATGGGAAACCCAGGAGGTGAGTAGTCACGTTGCTCTTGTTGTTGTTAGCTCTCCAGCTTCATAGGAAACCCAGGAGGTGAGCAGTTGTGTTGTTGTTGTTGTTGTTGTCATTGGCTGCCCAGTTTCATGGGAAACCCAGGAGGTGATCAGTCGTATTACTGTTGCTGTTGGCTCACTGGTTTCATGGGAAACCCAGTAGGTGAGCAGTCACATTATTGTAGTTCTGTTGTTGTTGTTGTTGTTGTTGTTGTTTGCGGCTTTCCAGTTTCACAGGAAACCCAGGAAGTGAGCAGTCATGTTGTTGTTGCTGTTGTTGTTGCTGGTTCTCCGGTTTCGTGAGAAACCCAGGAGGTGAGCAGTCACGTTGTTGCAGTGTTGTTGTTGCTGTTGCTGTTGCTGTTGTTGTTGGCTCTCCGGTTTCACGGGAAACCCAGGAGGTGAGCAGTCACGTTGTTGCAGTGTTGTTGTTGCTGTTGCTGTTGTTGTTGTTGGCTCTCCGGTTTCACGGGAAACCCAGGAGGTGAGCAGTCACGTTGTTGCAGTGTTGTTGTTGTTGTTGTTGTTGTTGTTGCTGTTGTTGTTGTTGGCTTTCCAGTTTCACGGGAAACCCAGGAGGTGAGCAGTGTTGTAGTTTTATTGTTGTTGTTGTTGTTGTCGTCGTTATTGTTATTGGCTTTCCAGTTTCACGGGAAACCCAGGAGGTGAGCAGTGCTGTAGTTTTATTGTTGTTGTCATTGTTGTTGTTGTCGTCGTTATTGTTATTGGCTCTCCGGTTTCACTGGAAACCCAGGAGGTGAGCAGTGTTGTAGTTTTATTGTTGTTGTCATTGTTGTTGTTGTTGTTATTGGCTTTCCAGTTTCACGGGACACCCAGGAGGTGAGCAGTCACGCTACTGTTGTTGTTATTATTGTCGTGTTGTTGTTGTTGTTGTTATTATTATTAGTTTTAGTAGTTGTTGTAGTATCTCTCCAGTTTCATGGCGATCAGGGGTCCAGAAGTCCTGCAAAAGTATGTGTGTGTGTGTGTATACATATTTGTGTGTGTGTGTGTGTGTATGGGGGTGTGTGTTGTGGAATTCCAGAGATTGATTCGGTATTTGGATAATTTCGGCGCCATGCCTAATATGAATCGAGGAGGACCCCTTCCAAAGCCCTACTGGAACAAAACACGAGGCAAAACGTTAGGAGAGCATGCTGCTGGAACATGGCCATACAGCTCGAAAAACCCACAACAACCCATTTAATATAGCCATCGGAAAACTCTGGGGTTTTTTAAGCAATGCCATCGTCCTCTGTTCTGTCTTCCGTACAGAAGCTTCTCGGAGCTCTACCAAAAGTCCTTGCAAGAGAAAAGGAGGAGCGAGCCTCCGGCCGGAGACGCCGAGCTGACCAAGCCGGGCAGCGAAGCCGGGTTCAAGCCGGCCACCCTCCAGCTCCTCCATTCGCTCTCCCTGCAAGACGGGCCTCCGCACAGCCTGGCGGAAGAGAGGACCGAATTCCTTCGAACGCCCGGACCCCCCGACCCGTAAGGACACAACCTGAACGTGAGCCAAGAGTGTGATGCGGCAGCGAAAAAGGCCAATGCGATTCTCAGATGCTGCAATAGGAGAAGAGTGTCTAGATAATAGAACTGATAGATGGATGGATAGACAGACAGGCAGACACTAGAACTGATAGAGCGATTGATCAATAGTTAGATAGATAGTAGAACTGACAGATGGATAGATAGATAAACAGACAGACACTAGAACTGATAAATAGATTGATTGATCAATAGGTAGATACTAGAATTGATAGATTAATGGATGGATGGATGGATAGATAGATAGATAGATACTAGAACCGATAGATAGATCGATTGATCAATAGAAAGAAAGAAAGAAAGAAAGAAAGAAAGAAAGATAGATAGATAGATAGATAGATAGATAGATAGATAGATAGATAGATAGATAGACAGACAGATAGATAGATAGATACATAGAAACATAGATACATAGATAATAGAACGGATGGATGGATGGATAGACAGACAGGCACTAGAACTGATAGATCGATTGATCAGTTGGTACATAGATACTAGAACTGATAGATGGATGGATGGATAGATTCATAGATAAACAGACAGACACTAGAACTGATAGATCGATTGATCAGTTGGTAGATAGATACGAGAACTGATAGATGGATGGATGGATGGATAGATAGATACATACATAGATACATAGATAAACAGACAGACACTAGAACTGATAGATCGATTGATCAATTGGTAGATAGATACGAGAACTGATAGATGGATGGATGGATGGATAGATAGATACATACATAGATACATAGATAAACAGACAGACACTAGAACTGATAGATCGATTGATCAGTTGGTAGATAGATACTAGAACTGATAGATGGATGGATGGATGGATGGATGGATGGATAAACAGACAGACACTAGAACTGATAGATCAATTGATCAGTTGGTAGATAGATACTAGAACTGATAGATGGATGGATGGATGGATGGATGGATGGATAAACAGACAGACACTAGAACTGATAGATCAATTGATCAGTTGGTAGATAGATACTAGAACTGATAGATGGATGGATGGATGGATGGATGGATGGATAAACAGACAGACACTAGAACTGATAGATCAATTGATCAGTTGGTAGATAGATACTTGAACTGATAGATGGATGGATGGATGGATGGATGGATACATACATACATACATACATACATAGATACATAGATAAACAGACAGACACTAGAACTGATAGATTGATTGATCACTTGGTAGATAGATACTAGAACTGATAGATGGATGGATGGATGGATAGATAGATACATACATACATAGATACATAGATACATAGATAAACAGTCAGACACTAGAACTGATAGATCGATTGATCAGTTGGTAGATAGATACTAGAACTGATAGATGGATGGATGGATGGTTGGATGGATAGATACATACATACATAGATACATAGATAAACAGTCAGACACTATAACTGATAGATCGATTGATCAGTTGGTAGATAGATATTAGATGGATTGGTGGATGGATGGATGGATGGATGGATGGATGGATAAACAGACAGTTAGACAGATACTAGTACTGATAAATAGATTGATCAATCAATAGATAGATATTAGAACTGATAGAAGGATGGATGGACAGACGGACAGATAGATAGACACTAGAACTGATAGATAGTTCGATAGATAGATAGATAGATAGATAGATAGATAGATAGATAGATAGACTAGAACTGATGGATGGATAGACAAACAAACACTAGAAGTGATAAATAGACTGATTGATTGATTGATCAATAGATAGATACTAGAACTGATGGATGGATAGAAAAGTAGCTAGATAGACATTAGAACAGATAGATGGATAAATATATAGATAAACAGACAGAAACACAGAAACTAGAACTGATAGATAGATAGAGAGAGGGATGGATGGATGGATGGATGGATGGATGGATGGATGGATGGATGGATAGATAGATAGATAGATAGATAGATAGATAGATAGATAGATAGGTAGATAGACACTCAATCTGATAGATGGATGGACAGACAGATGGACGGACACTACACAGATTGATACAGTTCATTCACTCACACCCTGAGTTTCCTCCACTTTGTTCCCTCCAGGATGCCGTCTCAGGATGTTCCCGTCGTCCCCAATCCTCCTCCAGATCTGATCTTAGCCGCCACGTCCAAGGTTCCTCCGGACCATGATGCCGTAAGTTCTCTGTAGTGTTCAATGCAACAGAAATGGTCACCAAAAGTGCATCTGAACCAAGTGTAGTGTCCTGGCGGTGGGTCCGTAGGTGACTGTGGAGCCCATATTCTTGATCTGCATCTTCTCCCGCAGTGAGGACCATCACTTCAATGCTGGTGGTCTTTGCTTCTTCCAGCACGCTGACATTTGTCTGCTTGTCTTCCCAAGAGATTTGTGGGATTTTTCGCGGGCAGTGCTGATGGAATCGTTTCAGGAGTTGCATGTGACGTCTGTAGACAGTCCACGTTTCGCAGGCGTATAGCAGGAATGGGAGGACAATAGCCTTATAAACAAGCCCCTCGGTCTCCCTATGAATGTCCCGGTCCTCAGACATTCTCTGCTTCATTCGGAAGAATACTGCACTCTCAGAGCTCAAGCGGTGTTGAATTTCCGTGTCAGTGTTGACGTCTGTAGACAGTCCACGTCCCGCAGGTGTATAGCAGGGTTGGTAGGACAATAGCTTTATATACAAGCACCTTGGTCTCTTTATGGATGTCCTGGTCCGCAAACACTCTCTGCTTCATTCGGAAAAACGCTGCACTCGCAGAGCTCAGGCGGTGTTGAACTTCAGTGTCAGTGTTGACGTCTGTAGACAGTCCACATCTCGCAGGCGTATAGCAGGGTTGGGAGGGGAATAGCTTTATAAACAAGCACTTTGATCTCCCTACGGATGTCCTGGTCCTCAAACACTCTCTGCTTCATTCGGAAAAATGCTCCACTCGCAGAGCTCAGGCGGTGTTGTATTTCAGTGTCAGTTGACATCTGTAGACTGTCCATGTCTCGCAGGTGTATAACAGAGTTGGGAGAACAATAGCTTTATAATCAAGCACCTTGGTCTCCCTACGGATGTCCTTGTCCTCAAACACTCTCTGCTTCATTCGGAGAAATGCTGCACTCACAGAGCTCAGGTGGTGTTGAACTTCAGTGTCAGTGTTGACGTCTGTAGACAGTCCATGTCTCGCAGGTGTATAGCAGGGTTGGGAAGACAATAGCTTTATATACAAGCCCCTTGGTATCCTTACGGATGTCCCAGTCCTCAAACATTATCTGCTTCATTCGGAATAACGCTGCACTCGCAGAGCTCAGGCGGTGTTGAACTTCAGTGTCAGTGTTGACGTCTGTAGACAGTCCACATCTCGCAGGCATTTAGCAGGGTTGGGAGGACAATACCTTTATAAACAAGCACCTTGGTATACCTACGGATGTCGCGGTCCTCAAACACTCTCGGCTTCATTCGGAAAAATACACTCGCAGAGCTCAGGCGGTGTTGTATTTCAGTGTCAATGTTGATGTCTGTAGACAGTCCACGTCTCGCAGGCGTATAGCAGGGTTGGGAGGACAATAGCTTTATATACAAGCACCTTGGTCTCTTTATGGATGTCCTGGTCCTCAAACACTCTCTGCTTCGTTCGGAAAAACGCTGCACTCACAGAGCTCAGACGGTGTTGAACTTCAGTGTCAGTGTTGACATCTGTAGACAGTCCATGTCTCGCAGGTGTATAGCAGGGTTGGGAGCACAATAGCTTTATAAACAAGGATGCCCCGGTCCTCGAACACTCTGTGCTTCATTCGGAAAAATGCTGCACTCGCAGAGCTCAGGCGGTGTTGAACTTCAGTGTCAATGTTGACTTTTGTGGAGAGTGAGCATTAGATTTGAGTAAATAAATACCATACACACATATTAAATCATCTATGTGCCGATTTATAGGCTATCAACCTCTCCCCAAGCTTTGTCCTCCCTTTCCAAAGCCTACATATGTCCTTACAATCTTCCATTCACACTTAAGGACATTCAGAGACCAAATGCCTTTCTTCCAGGACCCGGTCATCGACAAGAAAGGTTCGGTCACGGGTCAAGAGGTCAAAGGTCCCTTGACCCTTGGGGAGAAGCCCCCCCTCGCTTTGGAGACCAGCGAAAGCGATAAATTCCTGCCGCGGACCCTTTCCCTGCGCAACTCCATCACCAAAAGTAAGACCTTCCTGGCCTCCTTGAACTTCAGTGTCAGTGTTGACGTCTGTAGACAGTCCACGTCTCATTGGGTTGTCCCTTTGGTGAGACCCTCTCCTCTTCTCTCCTTCAGTCCTTTCCGAAGCCGGGGAATCGCCGGAAGACGAGTGGGAATCCATCGCCAACTTGGCCTCCGCTTGCAACAGCATCCTCGAAGCTCTTTCGAGGGAAGGTGGGTGACGGAAACGAGGCGGGCGAGGCACCCGTCAGTTGTGTTTTGGTCCCGGGATCCATCTCGGCCCATTTGCCATTTTATATACGGGATGTTGTATTGTATCATTGTACAGGTAGTCCCCAAGTTACAGTCATCCGACTTACAGACGACTCCAAGTTAAGAACAGGGGTGAAACAATAGGAAGTGAGGGAAATCTTATATATTATTAGTATTGGTATCATGATATTACTATTTTATTATATTATCATCTTATTAGTGTTATTATATTGCTATATTTTATTGTATTATTATATATATTATTAGTATTAGCATCATGATATTACTATTTTATTATATTATTATATTATTAGTATTAGCATCATGATATTACTATTTTATTATAGTATTAGTATTAGTATCATGATATTACTATTTTATTATATTATTATATTATTAGTGTTATTATATTGCTATATTTTATTGTATTATTATATATATTATTAGTATTAGCATCATGATATTACTATTTTATTATATTATTATATTATTAGTGTTATTATATTGCTATATTTTATTGTATTATTATTATATATTATTAGTATTAGCATCATGATATTACTATTTTATTATAGTATTAGTATTAGTATCATGATATTACTATTTTATTATATTATTATATTATTAGTGTTATTATATTGCTATATTTTATTGTATTATTATATATATTATTAGTATTAGCATCATGATATTACTATTTTATTATATTATTATATTATTAGTGTTATTATATTGCTATATTTTATTGTATTATTATTATATATTATTAGTATTAGCATCATGATATTACTATTTTATTATAGTATTAGTATTAGTATCATGATATTACTATTTTATTATATTATTATATTATTAGTGTTATTATATTGCTATATTTTATTGTATTATTATTATATATTATTAGTATTAGCATCATGATATTACTATTTTATTATAGTATTAGTATTAGTATCATGATATTACTATTTTATTATATTATTATATTATTAGTGTTATTATATTGCTATATTTTATTGTATTATTATATATATTATTAGTATTAGCATCATGATATTACTATTGTATTATTATTATATATTATTAGTATTAGCATCATGATATTACTATTTTATTATAGTATTAGTATTAGTATCATGATATTACTATTTTATTATATTATTATATTATTAGTGTTATTATATTGCTATATTTTATTGTATTATTATATATATTATTAGTATTAGCATCATGATATTACTATTTTATTATATTATTATATTAGTATTAGTATCATGATATTACTATTTTATTATATTATTATTAGTATTAGCATCATGATATTACTATTTTATTATATTATTATATTATTAGTATTAGTCTTATTATATTGCTATATTATATTTTATTATATTATTATATTAAATATTATTAGTATTAGTTATATTGCTATTGTATTATATTATTATATATTAGTATTATTATATTACTATATTGCTATATTATTATATTATATATAATTAGTATTAGTGTTATTATATTGCAATTATATTATTATTATATATTATATTGTATTAATATATATATTATTAGTATTAGCATCATGATATTACTATTTTATTATATTATTATATTATTAGTATTAGCATCATGATATTACTATTTTATTATATTATCATATTATTAGTGTTATTATATTGCTATATTTTATTGTATTATTATATATATTATTAGTATTAGCATCATGATATTACTATTTTATTATATTATTATATTATTAGTGTTATTATATTGCTATATTTTATTGTATTATTATTATATATTATTAGTATTAGCATCATGATATTACTATTTTATTATAGTATTAGTATTAGTATCATGCTCCAGCAAAGGATCACCGCCTTGTCGGGGCGCTGGAGCTTGAGCACCTCAATGATGTCATGAGCGAAACCGTGAAGGGCCACCCAAGACGGGACGGTTGTGGCAGAGAGGTCAGACCAAGCGTGATCCCTGGGGAAGGCAATGGCAAACCACTCCAGTATCCTTGCCAAGAAAACTAAATGGACCAGTACAACCAGAGATATGTTGGTATGCCATTGGAAGATGGGACTCCCAGGTCGGAAGATGGCCAAAATGCTACTGGGGAGGAGCAGAGGATAAGTTCAACTAGCCCCAGATGTGATGAAGCAGCTAGCTCAAAGCCGAAAGGAAGGCTAGCGGCCGACGGTACTGGAGGTGAACGACGAATCCGATGCTCTAAAGATCAACACACCATAGGAACCTGGAATGTAAGATCTATGAGCCAGGGCAAAGTGGATGTTGTTATTGGCGAGATGTCAAGACTAAAGATAGACATTCTGGGGGTCAGCGAACTGAAATGGACTGGAATGGGCCACTTCACATCCGATGACCACCAGATCTACTACTGCGGACAAGAGGAACATCGAAGAAATGGAGTAGCCTTCATAATTAATAAGAAATTCGCTAAAGCGGTGCTTGGATACAACCCAAAAAATGACAGAATGATCTCAATTCGAGTGCAAGGAAAGCCTTTCAACATTACAGTGATCCAAATATACGCCCCAACCACAGCTGCTGAAGAAGCAGAAGTAGATCAGTTTTATGAGGATCTGCAGGACCTACTGGATAATACACCAAAAAGAGACATTATTTTCATTACAGGAGACTGGAATGCCAAGGTGGGAAGTCAAATGACAACAGGGATCACAGGCAAGCATGGTCTGGGAGAACAAAATGAAGCGGGACGCAGGCTGATAGAATTTTGCCAGGAAAACTCGCTGTGTATAACGAATACTCTCTTCCAACAACCTAAAAGACGGCTTTATACATGGACCTCACCAGATGGTCAACACCGAAATCAGATTGACTACATCCTTTGCAGCCAAAGGTGGCGGACATCCAACCAGTCGGTGAAAACAAGACCTGGGGCTGACTGTAGCTCAGATCACGAACTTCTTATTGCTCAATTTAGAATAAAACTAAAGAGATCAGGGAAAATACACAGACCAGTTAGATATGATCTCACTAACATTCCTAGCGAATACAGCGGAAGTGAAGAACAGATTTGAAGGACTAGATTTAGTAAACAGAGTCCCAGAAGAACTATGGACAGAAGTCCGCGACATTGTTCAGGAGGCGGCAACAAAGTACGTCCAAAGAAAAAGAAAACCAAGAAGGCAAAATGGTTGTCTGCTGAGACACTGGAAGTAGCCCAAGAAAGGAGGAAAGCAAAAGGAAACAGGGATAAGGGGAGATATGCCCAGTTAAATGCACAATTCCAGAGGTTAGCCAGAAGAGATAAGGAACTATTTTTAAATAAGCAATGCATGGAAGTGGAAGAAGACAACAGAATAGGAAGGACAAGAGACCTCTTCCAGAAAATTAGAAACATTGGAGGTAAATAAAATTAGAAACATTGGAGGAAACTTTGCTGTAACCGCCACCAGGATCCCAGTAGAAAACATCATTGCCAATGTTGAATCAGCAATTTATCGCCTCCCCGAGGAGGAAGCAGAAGAAGTACGAGCAGAAACAGCAAGGATCCTGAAAAAGGCAAAACTTCCCTCCAGTAACATTACTAGGAAGGAAAGACAAGCCATCAGAGAACTGAATTCAGATCCGGATATCCTCGTTATGCCAGCAGACAAGGGGAATGCCACAGTTATCATGCATACAGAACAGTACAAGGAGAAGATCAGAAAACTCCTGGACCCTACTATATACAAAAAAACTCAAGCAAGACCCAACTGCCAAAATAACCAAGAAAACCAACACCCTGATTAAGAACTCCTCCATAAACTTTGACATACGACAACAGCTATGTAAATCGGAAGCCCATCCACCCAGGCTTTATGGACTCCCAAAAATCCATAAGGACTCCACCCCACTCAGACCCATCGTGAGTGCCATTGGATCCCCACATACGACCTAGCAAAATTTCTTGCTGCACAGTTACAAAGCCATATTGGGCTCACTACACACTACATCAAGGACTCAGCCCACTTCATAGAAAAAATCAGCAATCTCAAGCTAAATACCAACGACAAACTGATCAGCTTCGATGTGGTATCTCTATTGACCATGGTCCCGGTAGCAGACACCATGGCACTCATCAACCAGAGGTTCCCAGAAGACATCACGGCTCTGTTTCACCATTGCCTCACCACCAGTTACTTTCAGTGGGACAATGAATTCTACGAACAGAAAGATGGAGTAGCTATGGGGAGCCCTCTCAGCCCGGTCATAGCTAACTTCTACATGGAACACTTTGAAAAACAAGCCCTGGAAACAGCAACCAAAAAGCCCACGATATGGTTCAGATATGTGGATGACACCTTCACCATTTGGAGCCATGGAGAAGAAGAACTCAACAGGTTCCTGGACCATCTTAACAGCATCCACCCAAACATCCAGTTCACCATGGAAAAAGAAAAGGAAGGAAGACTGCCTTTTCTAGATGTCCTAGTCATCCGCAAACCAGATCAACAATTGGGTCACACCGTCTACAGAAAACCCACACACACAGATAGATATCTACATAAAAACTCCAACCATCACCCAAGTCAAACAAGAAGCACCATTAAAGCCTTGGCAGACCGTGCAAAAAGAATCTGCGAAGCCCACCTCCTCCAAGATGAACTGAACCACCTCAACTGGGCTCTCCAGGCCAAGGGAGACTCCACCTCAGGCATCAGAAGAGCTGCAAGACCAAGAACAAGCCACGAGAGTAAAGATGAAGATCCACCCAGAAGAAAAGTGTTCCTGCCATACATCAAGGGAACCACTGATCGCATAGGGAAGCTGATGAGGAAACACAACATACAAACTATCTACAAACCCACCAAGAAAATCCAACAAATGCTACGTTCAGCAAAGGACAAGAGGGATCCCCTCACCTCTGCAGGAGTCTACCGTATACCATGCAGCTGTGGACAAGTCTACATAGGGACCACCAAACACAGCGT